GTGGTAGAAAGATGAAACGCCGAGAGAGAGATTTTCTGCGCCCCATCGGCGCTACCACGAGGAGGCTCTAGGTGGCTACCTAGGGCAGCCCAGCGAGCTGGGGAAGAGGCGCTCTGACCCCAGGAGAAGGGCAAAGACGGTCCCAACGCCGCCGCCGCCATGGTGTGCGTATGTGCTTGAACTCCTCAAGCAGCAGAGGGCCGGAGAAGGCAGGAAGCTCCGATACAGGGAGGAGTAAGAGAACCGCCAAACAAGGGGGGTTGATCTCAGCGGCACTGGCGGTGGCGGCTCGGTGCAAACCGTGCAGGAGGTGGCTGGCGAGTACGCAGGGCTTTCCGTGGCCCGAGCAAACCGGCGCACTCGCCCGAAGTGGAGCCGAGGAGCGCCGCTTGCACGGAGAACGCAGCCGCGGACTGCTCTCCTCGCAGCGAAAGCGCCGGCTTAAGCCAAAGAAGTGAAGCTGGTAAAGGAGGAGGAGGAGCGTTTTTTTCAATCCGGAGTGCTGAGGCCGGTGCGGGGCGCAAGGTTGCAGCCCCTGTTAGGCGGCTTCTCTTTTGGTGGCGCTGAGGGGTCGGCCTCATCTGGCGCCTCATCGGGCTGCCCATAAGGTAGCGGTGGGTGTAACGACCCCCTTGGGGCCGAGGAGCTTTTTTGCTTTTGTCCTCTGCGTAATGGTGAAGAGACGCATTCACGCCTTACAGTTGAAGCACGCGGCTTCCCCGCCCCCAATCTTGGGAATTGTAGTTTGCACCCACACCCGAGCTTTAGTTCCTAGCGCCCTTAACGAACTACAGTACCCCCAGTTCTTTGGAGGAAGCCGTGTGATTTAAATGTATGGTGTGGGTGTGACCATTACGAAGCAGGAAGCCCCTGATTCGGATCTCGCTGATGTCGCAAACCCGTTAGGCAGTATATAAATTGTATGAAATAAGAATAAATTAAAAATTAAGGAAAACCAGCAGAGTTTTGTGAACCTTAACGATTTAACAGGCCTAAAGCTTTTAAGAGCTACAGTCTACTTCATCAAATAGAAGTGAAGTTCATGAAAACATGATCCACATAGTCAACGTAAGTCTGTGAAGGTGCCACAAGCCTCCTCATTTTGCTGCAAGAGTCCTACAGTGCAATCCTAACCATTGTCAGAAGTAAATCTGAATTTAGCAGAGCATACTCTGAGGTCAACAGAATTAAGGTTGGAGCCTAAAAGGACTACCATTATGGAAATCATCGTTTGCATGGATGACAACTAAAACACTTTGCAAATGTTAAGTATTATCACTATTGATGAGATCTCTCAGGAGGTGCTATAAACCACCATCTCCCAGCAGGAAGTGGAACTTGCCTAGATTGGGGAGATACTGAGAGCAACAGCTCAAGACACAAATATGGGAAAACATGAAATCTAATAAAAATGGATTTTCTGGTGTCTGAACTGTACCAGCCCTATCTGGTAGTTATTTCCTAACCCCCCCCCCCCACTTTCAGAGACAGGGAAGGATAGGATTATCTGTATGGAATAGAAACCCAGGAGGAGCAAGGAGCTTGCTTTATGAAAGCAAACAGGCCTTATCTGCTAGCTAGGACTTACCAGGGTTCTTGGGCTGCCATCTGGAGACATTTATTCTGGGTACAAGTAAGCTAATGGCTTTCATGAGAGCTTTGCTGCAGCTCTAGGGTGGATATGGGAGGTGGAGGAGTGAGTGGGAAGGACCTCTCAATGGGGGTCTGGGCTGCAGAATCAGGGGCTCAGATTAAAACACTGCGCACACACTCTCTTTCTCTCTCACACACATACACTCTCACACTGTTTCCATGCCCTGGCAGTGCTCCAGTCTCACACTACAATGGGCTGCTGTTTTCAGTCTTCTGACACAGCTGGCAGCTTGATGGGAACAGCTGGTTGCCTGAAAGGGAATGTGGAGTGGTCCTTGGCTTTAGGTTGGGGGGCCCCCCAATAGGGGCTGAGCGACTAAGCTTCTCCACCTCTCCAGCCTAGCCGTTGTTGAGTGAAGCGGCAGCCAGTTCTGCACAGAACTGGAAAGGATGGAGAATTGCCCTAGCAAAGCTGTGCTCCCAGAACAGACCTTTATGATGTGGGGGGATCAGAGAGAAACACAGGGGCCTTGAACAAAAAAACTTAACTGGGGGAAAAGGTCTTCCCAGGGCATAGTCTGAGAACGTACAATGCCACCATCTTGCTGAAGTTAACCAGGCCTGGTTCTGTGGAGTGCTTGAATTGGAGAGAGACTGCTTGGGAACCCCATGTACACTGCCTTGAGTTCTGTGATGGAAGAAAAGTGGGACATGTACTAAATAACATAAATACTTTAAATAAAACTTCCATGTAGAATTCATGGGCATTTAGCAGACTGCTGGACCACTTTTGTTTTCTTTGGCCCTCATTCCGGTATCCAAGGTCTGGTTTTTCTTGCTATGTGGTTGACTTCTTTTTCTCTTGCTTTTCTGAAATTGTATTTATCATTTCACAGTAGTTTCTTGCCCCTGCAGCGAAGGATTGCTGGTGAGGCTGGTGGGACCATAACCCTTTGCCAAACCAAGTGGGAGTTGTGTGGAATATTGTGGTGGACAGAATGTTAGAGGTGAGGTAGAGGGGGGAAACTGGGTTGAAATCCCTGTTCAGCCACGAAATTCATTGGTTCATCCAATTATTTATTACAGTTTGGGGAATGGCTGACACTCAGTGACAGAGCACACAGTTGGCATGCTGAAGATCCCGACTCTACTTCTCAGCATCTTCAGGAAGGTGTGGGGAAATCTCTTGTCTGAAATCATGAAAAGTCACTGCTGGTCAGTGAATTTATTACATTTATATTTCCAACAAGCACAAAGTGGCATATGTGGTTCCCTCCCTCCTCATTTAATCCTGGCAACAAACCTGTGACGTAAGTAAGGCTAAGAAGCAATGACTGGCCCAAGGTCATCCAGTGAGGTGCATGGCCAAGTGGAGATTTGAACCCTGGTCTCCCAGGTCCTAGTCTGTCACTGACTACTGTACCACACTGGCTCCATGGACCAACCATTTGACTTGGCATGGCAGCTTCCTATGATCTTGTAAGCCACTTTTGTATCATGGCGTTGCTCTCAAAGCCATTAACAGACAATTCAAACTGCATTTAACTATTTAAAAGCATTTGTGTGCACCATTTAATATTTTAAAAATCTCTGCATAATAAAAACACAAATCAGGTTACAAGAACACATCAACATCCAGAATAAAATGAGAGCCATTTTCTCTCAGCCTAACCTACCTTGCAGAGTGATTGTGAACATCGAATGGGATACAGTGGTACCTCGCAAGACGAATGCCTCGCAAGACGGAAAACTCGCTAGACGAAAGGGTTTTTTGTTTTTTGAGCTGCTTCGCAAGACGATTTTCCCTATGGGCTTGCTTCGCAAGACGGAAACGTCTTGCAAGTTTGTTTCCTTTTTTCTTAACACCGTTAATACAGTTGCGACTTGACTTCGAGGAGCAACTTATAGAACGCGGTGTGGTAGCCTTTTTTGAGGTTTTTAAAGACTTTGGTGATTTTTGAAGCTTTTCCAAAACTTTCCCGACGCTGTGCTTCGCAAGACGAAAAAAATCGCAAGACAAAACTCGCGGAACGAATTAATTTCGTCTTGCGGGGCACCACTGTATGCAATTCCACGAGCTGCTTTGAGGTAGGGTGAGGCATAAATCTAATCCCAAGTCAAAATTGTTTAGACTTGTATCCAACAGTTGCATGAGCAGAAGGCAGCTTACACAACTGACCTTGCTTTTCCTCCTGTGCCCCCTGAAAAGGTACTCTGGAGGGTTAAAGAGGGACCTACCTACTGTACATTGTGGGATGTGTTATACGGGGCTGCAGTGGGAGGAAGCTGAAATCTGAAATCAGGTGGATGAGCCCTGCATCAGTGAGTGTCGCCTCCAGATTGTCAGGCAAATACCAATAAATTTAGCTTTGTGCCACTAAAGTGGAATAAAGCGCTCTGGCACCCTACTGGAAAAAATCCACTTAAAACATGGACTTTTTGCAGTTAAGAAAGCATTACCTTGAAAAGTGTGGGATGAATAATGATTAACAGGTAGATCTATAAACACTGCAATAGGAAATTGGGGTGGCTGCTCATTATTGTATAACCTCCCCACAAACAGTTTGGTATGAATGGTCAATAAAGACCGGACATATAGTCTAAACTCCACATAAACGTTGTACAAGTGAATCTGGATGAATGCTCAACAAACTGGCTGTCTAGAGAAGCACAAGTACTGTGTAGAACCTCTCTTGTTTTCTGACTATTTCTAAACCCAACTTTGAAGCAGGAATGTGAACATTAGAAGAGCCTAGGCTGATCAGACCAAAGAGATGAAAAAGCTCAGCATTCTGTTTGCCACAGAGGCCAACTAGATGCCCCTGGGAAGCCCTCAATCAGGACACAAGGGCAATAGCCCTCTTCTGCCAAGGCACACTACCTCTGCTCAGGGGGACAGCATATCTCCTATGTAGACAGCATGAGTAGCCACCATTGATAGAGTGGGTGCCCAATTACTCCATTGTTAAAGGATCCACCAGGGTTGCTGCAAAACTCTTTGCATTTTAGTGTTTTCCCTGTTGCTCTCCTACCTTTTTACAGGCCGGGTTTGTGGTTGGTTTTTCTGACTTTCAGTGCCAACTTTTCATGTCTGGACTAGCAGTTGCTACTGATGCACCTGGTGAGAGGAGGGGTGCATGAGACAGTTGGTGACATGGTTAATGGGGCCTTGCCTTGCTGCCTTTTTTGCCCTGCATCTCCAGGATACAGTACTACCACCACCATCACCAGTCCTGGGCCCAGGAAGGGATTTTGAAAAGGCAGACCTTCAAATCAGCTCTCTGGCAATGGGAGTAGGAACAAAGGAAGCCACCTTTGTCCAATTCAAGCCACTAGTCCCACTATCTCAGCACTGTCAACACTGACTGGCAGCAGCTCTCAGACCAGGAATCTTTCCCAGACCTACCTGGAGATGCCAGGGATTGAACTTGGGGTCTTCTTCATGCAAAGCAGATTCTCCAGCACTGAGCCACAGCCCTTCCTGAATGAAATTGGACCTGGAATCTATGAGTAGGATTGGGTGGCATGAAGACAAGGCTGTCCCAAGACATTTTGCCGCCTGGGGAAAAGGCAAAGGTGGCGCCTTTCCCCACTCCATGGACAAAAGCCTACCAGACTGGCAGCTGAATCATACTTAAGCACAGCACTTCAAAAGACCCCAGGGCATATGATAAGGATTTTGTAACATTGGCCTTTTACCTTACTAGAAGAATGCATGTGAAACACTTTGAGCACTTAGAAAGAGTGTTGAATAAATACTAGAGTGATATAAATCATGTTGTAGCCAAAACATCCAGCAAATACTTAAAGCACCCAGGAAGAAGACTGTGAGTCAGGGGACTCCAGGGTTGCTATATTTCTTATTTCAAAGAGCAGCCTCTCACATTGCTGGAGAACCTGCCTAGAGACCATACAAAGGATTGGAGAGTGAGGTGGTCAGGATAGATCACGGCATATTGGCTTCACTGTTCACGTGTCTGATCCGGCAGAAGGCTAAGGGGGAAACCCCTGGTCAACAGCTTAAACGGAAGGTATTTTGCGTGGCCTGGCGACTGGCTCCTGCTTTGCACCAGAGAAGCAGGAGTGGCCTTTGTTTTCACTAGCAGAAGGGAAAAGACTCAGTTGTTACTCTCCTTCCTATTCTGGGCCCATCCAAGCTGTTGGGGTGGGAATGTATTCTGCAACATATCATTGATACAATAATAGTACATTAATGGGGTGTATATATACTGCACCACCTTCCAGTATATAACTCATTCCACTTTTTCTGTGATGCTTCCCCAGTGTTGCTGCCTTACCGCAGTCTGAAGGGACAAACTTGCACTATCCTGCAACAAACGTGGGACTCAAAGAAAACCTGGAACATTTGCGGCGTAAAAGCAACAGGATTTCATCGGGATGTTCCATGCATTGATTAGAAAGGAAGTGTGGCATGACTGTTCTGAAACTTTTACAGGCATGTATGGTACTGAAACGGGTCACATATGAAGTGCCCTGATCCAATCATGAACATAAATCATAACGAATGCACAATAAAAAAAGGAGGCCTCACAGCCCCTGACCTTGCTCCCACCAGTTCCTCTTCTCTGCCCTCACAATACAAGCAAAACAAAAAAGGCAGAGAGCAGTGCAGGAAGATGAGGGAAAGGCAAGGCAAGGAGGAAAGGCAAGGCATAAGGAGGTACCCAAAAGCAAGTGCTTTTTTTTCCTTAAAAAATGTTTAAGGGTACTCTCATTTTCCTACTCCTATTGAAATACTGCCCCTCAGTGATGTCAGACTTAGATTCACAAAATGTTTAGGGGTGTGCTTACCCCTGTGTCCCCCCCAGAAAAAAAGCACCGCAAGAAAGAATTAATGAGAAGGAAAGTGGCCAGTGCATTTCGATAAAATGAAAGTGAGGCAACTATGCCCCGGAGAAAGTTTCTTGAAATACAGTGGTACCTTGGGCTAAGTACTTAATTCGTTCCGGAGGTCCGTTCTTAACCTGAAACTGTTCTTAACCTGAAGCACCACTTTAGCTAATGGGGCCTCCTGCTGCTGCCGCGCCGCCAGAGCACGATTTCTGATCTCATCCTGAAGCAAAGTTCTTAACCTGAAGCACTATTTCTGGGTTAGTAGAGTCTATAACCTGAAGCATATGTAACCTGAAGCGTATGTAACCCGAGGTACCACTGTAGTTTTTCTCAGGAGAGAAAGGACATCAATGTTTATGTCCTCAAATAAGGTGTTTTATTTATTGCTTTATTTATTTCATTTATACATTGCTCATTCAACTAAGTTTTCTGGGCAGTTTAAATATCAATAAAACATACAATAAATACTCTTACAAGATGTTGGGATGTGAATAGCTATTTAATAGATAGCCTTTCTTCCGCAGTAGAGTGCCATCCCTTTGCAGCTTAAAAGGGAATCTTAGATAGGCTAGTTTTAGCCTTCTAGTTTTAAGTAATCCAGGATTTTAAGGCAGGCTGGATTTTCCTGGTTTCCACCCCTTAAAACAACAAACACACAAAGTAGTCTTGTAAAAGATAAAAATAACATTGACTCACTCAGAATACTTGTTGAAAAGTAACAGATACAGCAGCTTTGTACAGGCAGACTTAAAATGGTAATTCAGTCTAGCTTAAAATGTAGTCTGATCTTGGAGCTCAGATATGCAGATGGTCTCACATTGCTAGTTTGGTGAGGAAGAGGGTGTGCCCAGGCAGGTGGGAGAATATATAATGATACAGTGGTACCTCTGGTTATGAACTTAAATCGTTCTGGAGGTCCGTTCTTAACCTGAAACCGTTCTTAACCTGAGGTACCACTTTAGCTAATGGGGCCTCCCGCTGCTGCCGCACTGCCAGCACGCGATTTGTGTTCTCATCCTGAGGTAAAGTTCTTAACCCGAGATACTACTTCCGGGTTAGCAGAGTCTGGAACCCAAAGTGCTTGTAACCCGAGATGTTTGTAACCCAAGGTACCACTGTACCTTCCCCCTGTTACGGCACAGTGGGAATGTCTCTCACAGAGTTCTCTCTAGCAAGTTAACAGGAAACCTCTGTGAGCTTCAGAGCTGTATGTATCTAGCAAAACACGAATTGTTGGTTTGACTGCACTTTAAGTATCCCACACAAGAATCAATAAAAAAGTCACAAATCAGAAAGCTCAGGAACAACCCCCCCCCATTAAAACCAGCACCTGAAACAATTTAAAACTGGCATAAAACACAGCAAGGGGGAGCTTGATGTGAAACCTGGAGCACCCAAAGAATATGTCATTAAAAGACCTGTGTTCACCTGTTATCTTAATAATAAAATAGATGCCCCAATTCTGCCACCTCAAATAGCCAGTGGCTGTACATTTCCTCAGGTTAAGGCCACTTCTGTGGAGAAGGGAATGTCATAGTGCAGGGCTGCAAGAGCTTGGTGCCTCCTTCCTGCTGGAGGAAAAGAGTTTGCTTATGACTGAGGCCTCCAAAGGGCATGGGAATTTGATGCCCAGGGAAAACGGGCAGGGCAAGCAGTTATGTAGCACAAGCCTGTGGGTTGCGGGGGGTGTAGGATTGAGGCACAAATAAAAGAGGTAGCTGCAGAGAGCATGAGGAATACAATGGAAGATTTGAAAGGCAATGGAAATCCCAGCTATCCTTCTGTTAAGCGTAGCTGAAGAAGGGTGTGTCTCACCCACAACAGGAATATCTAAAAGCAGAGGAGTTGCAATGAACGGATGGTTTTTTTGGCCTTCCCTTGACTTTCCCTGGGCTGATAAGTGCATGTCCTGTGGAAGGGACAAAACAAACATGTGCAGCTGTGCCCACATTACGCTGTTCTTTCCCACTGTGTATGTGTGTGGACGAGGAATCTGTTTTCCTGTGTGTAGCAGAGAGAGAGATAAGAAGCTTACAAGACGGCACAATTCTAAGGGTCAGCTGTGGGCTGAACGAATTCTCCAGCTGCCTATTTATGCCGCCAAAGTGGCACTATCTTCCACAAGATAGGCTCAAGGCCGGGCTTGGGAAGAAAGATGACTTAAAAAATAAGCAACAGACACTGTGATAAAAGCAACAGAAGCACCACTGCAGAACCATAACATAAAAGAACCAGGGCGGTGGGCAGTGGTATACTGAATCTGATTTAGCAGGCTGGACCCACACGTGGCCCACCTCTGCGGGTTCATTTTGGCGGTTGGGTGGGGCCACTCATCTGTCACTCAGTTGATGTTATATGATCACATGATGCCAGGCAATCGCACTTCGAAGGAAGAATGATGATCTCATGCAAATTGCAGCTGCGAAAACCAAATCTCCTGCTGCTTTCTCTGCTGAAAGTGGGGATTGCTTTCGGTGTTCAGTACTGACGGCAAGTCCAGCTTGTGGCAGGCGTTGACTGCAATCATGAACTTCAGTGCTGAATTGAAAACTGATCCAAGTGTGTCTTTTATTTGGTGCCAGATTTAAAACACCAAATGCAAGCGCTGCTATCTGACTGATCCTTTGCTGCTGTGTCTGTATCTGCCTCACACCTCATGATGTATGACATCAGGTGTGGGGCAACTGGGAGAGGTTTGGGGGAAGAAGCCTCATGGGCCCAATGGGACCCCTGGTGGGCCTAATTAGGCCTGCAGACTAGAAATTTATTGCCCTTGTTTTCGAGTAATATGACCAATTCAGGCAGGTAAGGTAGACACTTTGTTTCTCCATGCAGTCCCATCCTTGTGTGGGATTTAAGGGAGGAGAAACCTGCATCTGCAGACAGGCTGGGCCCATGTTACATCCTCAGTGCCATCACGGGCATGCAGAGAAAATCAGGATAGCTTTGGAGTCCAGACAAATTACACTGAGGAGAATGATTATATGATTTGGAAGGGCTGTATCTAGTTCTATCTCTACAGGATATCCTTTATTTGGAGGCCAAAACTACACCACAAGCAGTTTCATGATTCTTCCTCCTACTTCTTGTGGGTTTTTAAAAAATAAATAAATGAGTAGGTTGAAGTAAAAGTAAGTTGAAATTGGGAGTGGAAGACTAGTGATGTGAAGGGGTTTGCGTGTCTATGTGTATGTGTGTTACTTAATCCTTTCCCTTTCTTTCCTGTCTGCTCAAGGTCACCTTTTCCAAGCTGTTTTCAACCCAGTTAGGGAAAAGATAAAGGGTTGGGTGTCTTTCCCTTTACTGGGAGAAAAGCACTGGGATGATTTTGAGTTGACAAATGGCAGGAAAGAACCGATTAATTAGTCTCTCCTTTCCTATCCCATTCAATCGTTCCTTTTAGCTTTTTTAAAAAATAAAAGCCAAAAGGAAGAAACACAAAAGTGTGCATCATGTATGGTTTGGCTAAAGCATCCCCCTTAGAGGTCTGCTCAGCATTTCCTCGAGATTCCACAACCTCCAGATAACTTATTTCATGCCTCAACCTCTTTTATTGTTCCTATATTTAATGTCAAGTCTGCACAACTTGGTTTTCCAGTAAGCTAAACACACCCCAGTAGAA